TGTGAAGGGAGCAGCTTTTCACAAGTCAGTCACTCATTTGGGCTAATAAAATTCCAAAACACTTAACTTCTCTGACTTTCCCTGCCTTCTATTTTCTCTTTCAGCAATCCTCTAATTTCCCTAGTCTCCCTCTCTTGAATAATAATAATAAAAAAATCCTTAATAGCAAATTGTTGAATGATCAGTTTATAAGACATATTTTACTCCAGTATAGTGGAATAGCAAAATACATATTACTGTTAAAAAATAGTTATGATAATTAATGAGTATTTATTAGATGAAATTAAACACTAAATGATCTGGGGGACCAAATAAGTATAAAATACTACTAGACAGGCAAAGTTGTATAAGGTATATATGTTTGAGTAGGAAAGTGTTAGAATAGCACAATGGAATAAAAAATTTTACTCCATCACACATAAATATATAATGATTACTTTTTATATCTTTGGTGGAATTCTAATGTAATGAAACAAAAATATTTTTCATTAGTACTTTAATTATTCCTCCCCACAGTCATCACACACTTTATATTCATGAAAACCCTAAGTATAGTCGCCCATCAGTACCCGTAGGGGATTGGCTCCAGGACACGCCACGCAGATACCCAAATATGCAGAGGCTTAAGTACCTTATGAAAAAAAAAGATGTAGTATTTGCATACAGCCTACACACAGCCTCTAGTATATTTTAAATCATCTGTGGTGCTGTAGGATAAGCACTCAACCCTCAAGGTTGGTTTGAACCACAAGGTCGGTGGTTGAAACTGACCAGCCGCTCCTCGGAAACACTATACAGGATTGCTATGAGTAGAAACAGACTCAACAACATTTAACAATACAAAACATATATTATTTATAATTTATAATTTAATACAATGCACAAGGAGTCCTGGTGGTATAGTGGGTTCCACACTGGGCTGCTAACCGTAGATTATCAGTCAGAACCCATGAGTAGCTATGTGGGCAAACCAACTCGACGACATACAACCACCACCACTACCCAATACAATGTATGGAAGAAACATGATGATTTCTGCTCCTGCAAAGATTTACAGACTTAGAAATCCTACGCAGGGTCCCTATGAATTGGAACTCAATGTCATCTAACAACAATATAATGCAAATGCTATCAAATAAATGGAGCCTTGGTATAGTCCTATATGATAAGCACTGGACTGCTAAATGCTAGGTCAGCGGTTCAAACCCACAAGCTGCATTGTGGAATCACTTTAGGGCCCCCATGAATAGGGACAAATTCCACAGCACTTAACAACAACATTACGTAAACAGTACTTTCTGCTCCCTCTTAGCCTTTGAGGGATTACTTTGACTACTAAATTGCACCCTGCACCTCAATCCACCCCACCCCTCTCTCTTTGTTGAATTTGTGGATATGGAGGGTCACTTGCAGTTACAGAAAACAACTCACACAATATTATCTATGTCCAAATCATATTATTTACACAAACTTACCACTGCTACCATTTCTGCTGCTGTTCCTCTTGAACATCTGATTATAGGAACAGCACCTATTTTAACAATGGATGTTAATAAGCATTATCTAAGGCTTTGATAGTTAAAATAAAAACTTACAAAATACATCAACATAAATAACATACGATGTATAGAATTTTAGCTTCTAAAGTAAAAATTATATAATCTCAAAAAAGCAGGTTTCAGAAATGAATCTTTCTCTTGATAAAAAAACAAAAACCTTTAAGGAAGAGAAGTCAGTGGTGTTAGGCAATCCGTGTGATGAGATTTTCTTCAGAAGGTCTACTGAGGCAATATTTTGAGTGTCTAAAAGCAGTTTCAGTTTACTTTCTACTTTCAGGATTCATTTAATCTTTAATTTGACTTAAAGTCTAAGAATAAAGAGAGCTCACCTAATTTAGTATATGGGATTATTATTTTTTGCTTATTTAACCAATTAATAAGAAAGTAACAACATATGAAGCTGGTATTTATTTTAATTTCTCCTTTGAAGATCCATCTTCTAATAGTCCATATGTAATAAGGTGTCTGTAACACTTCTGGTCGTTACTTATTTTTCTTTTTAAAATCTACCCTTTGAAAAGATAGCTATCACCAAGACAAAAAAAAAATTAATGTCCAAAATAACCATTGTTGTTGTTAAGTACCATGGAGTTGCTTCCAACTCATAGTGACCCTGCACAGGGTTTCCGAGGCTGTAAATCTTTACGGGAGCAGAAAGCCTCATCTTTCTCCCGTGGAACAGCTGGTAGTTTTGAACTGCTGACCCTGAGGTTAGCAGCCCAATTTGTAACCACTACGCTACCAGAGCTCCTTGGAGACTGTGTGGGATGGCAAAATAGAAAAATTTTGTCTGTTCAACAAATAAAAGTTGCATACATGTGCTTTTTCAATTAAAAAATTATACATATGCACAGAGAAATTAAAAGCAAACAGAAACTGGAATTGATAAAAATCTTGAAAGAAGGCATAAGATTTTCTTCTGATGGTACTTTCCGATTTGCATGGCACACAGAAATAGCTCAAGCACGAAAACAAGAGACTTACTAAGTGGAGGACTCAAAGTTGAAATTTAAAACTATTTCTATAGTCCTCTAAATGGAAAAATCAAGAAAGGAGGGAGTTCTAAAATTTACATATAAATTCTCCTCAATCCTAACTACGCATGTTAATCTCTCTTTTCCTTATTTTTCTCACTTGTGAAATGTAGCAAAGTTTTATTCACCTAGTGTGTTGTTGGAGTTCTGGTCTGGCACTGTAGGATAAGCAATGAACTGCTAATCAGAGGTCAGCGGTTCAAACCTACCAGCCTCAGAAACCCTTTACAGGGTTGCTATGAGTCAGAACCAACTCAACTCACCTAACAACAACAGTGTGAGGAACATTTAACTAAAAGGTTGTAAGTATCACTAAAAAATTTTAAATGAAATTATAAGATTTCTTAAAACAACCTATTAGTAACAGTCAAGCATAAAGGCATAGAAACCCAAACCCAAATCCATTGCCGTTGAGTCGACTGCAGCTCACAGCAGACCAATGAAGGGTTTCCAAGACTGTACATTTTTACAGGAGCAGGCAGTCTTATCTTTATCATGCCAAGCTGCTAGAGGGTTTGAACCACCAACCTTGTGGTTAGCAGTCCAATGCTTATCCTACAGCACCAACAGGGCTTCTATATGCCACATTATTACCAATGAGTCAATTCTGACTTATAGTGACCCTGTTTAGTTTCCGAAACTATAGATCTTTATGGGAGCAGAAAGACTCATCTATCATGAAGCAGCTGGTGGGTTAGAACTTTGGACCTTGCAGTCCAGTGTTTACACTACAGTAACACTAAGACATATGTTGTTGTTAAGAGCTGTGGTTATGACTCATAGTGATCCTGTACAGTTTCGGAGGAGCGGCTGGTGAGTTTGAGCTGCCAACCTTGTG